AAAAAAGCAAGGTATTTTCAACCTGAGAGCTAAATCTTTTTTTAGTCGGGCTAGCAAAGCTACTTTTTTGGAGATTCCTTTGACTAGCAAGCTGGTCCACGTACAAAAAACTTCGATAAGTATACTTTATGTAGATTCTTTAATTCTTTGCATTAAAATTTGTTAAATTAGGCAGACATGGTACGATGTTGCTCTATCTGTTCTTTACATGAAGTTTTAGGTCAAAGTAATTTAAATCTCACGGAATTTTGCTTATTTTGTTATTTTGAACTAGACGCTCCTAGAGCGTGAAGTCGGGCTAGCAATTTTGGAAAATGGAGAAAGAGAGGATATTACTCTTGGCTCAAAATGCGTTTTGCGTCGTTGCGCCAAGCCGTCAGGGGTCAAGGACTTCTGATGTCTTGCCATCACCTTTGATAACGCAAAGGRTAAGAAAAAACTAGACGCTCTAAGAGCGGGAAGTCGGGCTAGCTATTTTTGAAAATTGAAAAATAAAAGGATATAACATGGGTGCGCGTATAGGCGAGCGAATGAAAGATTTTGAACACGATAAGATAATGATGTACTATTCTGTCTATCATATTATTGTATGGCGTAAAATATTTCTTTTTACTTCTAATACAAAGTGAAATCAAGAATGCGTTACTTTCACTAGTTTTTTTATTAATTATTCAATGTACTGTTCAAAATTCAAATTATTAATCATCGGAAAAAATCGCGCACTTTCAAGGTTATAAATTTGATGTAAATATGATGTAAGTGTCCAAAATGATGTCATTTAAGTCATTTATGATGAAATTTACATCATTTCGAACGCCTGGTTTTTTAATTCTCGGCTTGACGTATCTGAAACACATTAAGATCTCTTCAGGGGATTGTTGGGAGAATACTGAGAGGAACGTTTTGGATGCTCATGAATAACGAGCTGAAAGCGAGTGAAAAAAACATGGAAAATATCTTCTAATGTTTATAGAACTGTCAACTCTTCCCTTTAGCTTATGTGGATAAGGAACGTTAATATTCGATTAATTTTTTCATGTTTTTAAATAATTGCTTACATTTTCTGGTTAAACAGAGAACATAGAGAATAGACGTTTTTTTATGGTAATAATATCTGTAACCGGATCACATGACATACTATATTTTTCGTTATTCTCACTGTTCACTTTCTCTTCTCAATGTTTTTGTTGTTGTTGTGATCTGTCCTCCGTCTGGATTTCTCCATATGCGAATAATTTCGCACCCAAATACTCTTCAATTGCAAAGTTTTTTTTACTATTCGTTTATGCCCTAAAAGGAAACGAATGGTATATTTTAATGCAAGTGAAAAAAATAAAATAAAACTGAGATGTCATGCTTGAAAAAAAAAACGGAAAATGGAGCCAGGACCGATTTGAATAAACAATTGTTCTGAAATGAATGGTACTTCCCAGGGGCCGATACAAAGGAGTGGGTGCGGCCCCTCCCCCTTCCCCCCATTTTTGGCGACATATTTTTTTATATATATCGTTTATCGTTTATTTAAACGTTTTCTGCTGTTTATACTCCTGTTGTACTTTTATCGAGAAAACGAGTAGCATACACAACATGTGTCTGCCACTATGCTGCTTAACAATCTATTTGAGTAGTGTAGTCAAAGATACGTTACAATAAAAGTCAATTTGCTTCCGGTCAAATTGTGCATAATTTTCTTGCTCTAGACATTACGCAGCTCACAAAAATGATCAGCTCTATCTGCTATACTTAGTTTTTAGCAATATATAACTGACAAAAGCACCCCCTCCCCATACAAGGTTGCTGGCTGCGGAGGAGGCTATGTATGTTTACGTGACGATAGAAATCTTTGACCTTTGGATACTTCAGTCTTGAATACCAAGTATATGCCAGTCTAACGGAGTTTTATCATGGCGGTTGACCAGAATCATCCTTCAGGACTTGAACCATGGGATGTGGTTGTTTTGGTGCTTTATATGGTTGTAGTAATCACGTTGGGATTTTATGTAAGTATTTTAAAGTAGTTCTTATAAAATATTTCGGATATTTCGAATTTTGAAGGCTAACGGTGTAAATAAGATAAGGTCACTCGATTGTAGTCGAAAACTGTTTGGCTTATAGTTCCTTATTTTTCCCTACTAGCAAAATACACATGATAAACGAGTTTCAATAATAAAAGTTTGTGAATCACTGACATCAGTGAATATAGAGACGGCGCAGCAATTATTAGTTATTAGGAGGGGAGGGGAGGGAGAGGCTTAGATGCATAGTCTCCTTGCTGAACCACCGAAGGCCGAAGGTCTTATTCCGGGCTCCCTGTAATCCTCCCCAGTGAAACCATGAAGCTCGACTTAAGGACAGTCTGCCTTCATTGAAGAAAACTGCGATTTTTGAATTTGTGGGCATGAGTATCGCATGACTTAGTTTTTCTTCAAGTAAACGGACATCTGGAAATTAAAATTTCCAGATGTCATTAAAATTTAAGACAAATCTATCTGCTGTAGGCAATGTTCAAAACTAGTCGTTCCACAGTCGCTGGTTATTTCTTGGCTGGACGATACATGACTTGGATAACGGTAAGAGGGTGGGCGAGGGGGTTGGGTGTGTGTGAGTGTGCAATAAACCGAAAGAAGGGGGAGGATTGTTTAAGGGGTTAGGGGAGGTGAAAAATTCCATGTGCTACCCTTATATGTACCGCCATGACCTCAAACTTTGGTGACTATATTCCAAAACAAAAATTTTTATTAGACTTAGCCGGGTAATGAGGCGAAGTACATGAGCTATGATGCMCTTAGGAAAAAGTGTCATCTCTTTTTTTCGTTTCATAAAATAAACAAAGTTAGCCCTATAACCTCCTTTGGTCTCAGGGTCTATGAATCAATGTGATCAGCCGAGATGGCAGTGACTACATCAGTGCAGCTCCTGACCTCATTTGTGTAGGATTCCCCGCCCCCTCCCCCTCCCCCTCCAAAGTTTTCTTGACTGATCACTTGAGGACGTCTATGTAGGTTGGAGCTTCCATCTTTGCCAGTAATATTGGAAGCGAACATTTCATTGGCCTGGCTGGTTCTGGGGCTGCTGCWGGTATCGGTGTTGGAGCTTTTGAACTCAATGTAAGTTGTTAAATCTACAATAGTTCTTTTCAGTTTCAAAGTAAAACAAAGAAAGACGTGTATTGATTATTTGCAGTTAATACGGCCATCATTTTTTAATAATTACGTGCATTCTTTCTTCTACAAAGCATATATAATTACAAATGTATAGCATTTTGCCGCACGGTTAGAAGAACAAGGAAATGATGATTTACCAATTATAACTGCAATCGATGTAATTTAACTGGAAGCGAGGGAATAAAATTTTGTCTATTTGTAGTGTTTTTTTTTCTGCTGCTTTGCATAGACTACGATGAATATAAACATCATTACATCTGTAATTTGTCTCGTMAGGCCATGATTATGATTCAACTCTTGGGATGGGTTTTCGCACCAGTCTACATTGCGTCTGGGGTAAGTCTTAAACGCATAGTTTATTCATAGAAGTTCAGCGATTTTTGATTSKGATAAGATGYGTGAAATTCTGCATTCTAGGTTTGCACCATGCCAGAATACATCAGTAAAAGGTTTGGAGGTCAAAGACTYCGWATCTGGCTATCTGTCCTCGCGCTAATTCTGTATGTTTTCACCAAGATATCTGTGAGTATAGCGCAAATACTTAATCGAACACATCGACGATACGCCGGACACTTTGTCAGGAAGCAAATATATAAATATTAAATTRTAATATGCCTTTTGCCCGATACTGACGTCTTTCGCTCCGTTAACATTGTCAAGTTTTGCCTTGGTTTACTGTAGTGCCACTCTACATTAACTGTAAAGAAATGTGAACATTTACTGTTGCATAAAATAAATTTCTCGTGCCGAGAAAATTACAATGTCCTTTGCTTTTCACATCTTTCAATATTAAGTTTTTCACTATTTGGTGTGTGTGTGTTTTTTGTTTATTACTTTAGGTGAACCTTTTCTCCGGTGCACTGTTCATACGACTTGCGTTAGGGTGGAATCTATACCTAGCCATACTTCTAATGCTTTTTCTGACGTGTCTGTGCACCATGACTGGTAAAATGCTTATTCAATATATATTTCTATATGTTGTAAAGGTTGCCCATAACTTGGTTAGCGTCTATTGCAGTACTTAGAAATAGCAACAGTTATAGTATTGACTATTCTCCAAATTCCAGTGTGAGTAGGCTTAGCCTCGAATCTATGTGTAAATTGATTGTTTATTCTATTGTTTTCTATCTTTGGAACGAGGTTATTCCCGCCTGGACTATGGAATTTTAAGAACAGTCAATAGGTTTGACGGGCGAAACGGGAGCCAGCGGGGGAGTGAGAGGAGTTTTTGTTGGAATATGAGATGCGAATTCGAAAACAAAAAATTGAAAAAAAAAACCGAGTGTCGATAGATTCAACAATTTTGGCAACGATCGTAGCTAGTCTCCAGCTCGTCCCGTTTGCCACAGGAAAACCAGAATAACTACTGTTAATTTCTGTTTAGGTGGTCTTGCAGCAGTTATTTACATGGACACGTTATCAACGTTTCTTATGGTGGTCGGTTCTTCTATACTAATGGTGTTGGGTATGTCACTATTAAAGTCATTAAAATTACTTCGTAKCCTCTAAACGGCTTTAAAGAACCACGCGCATCCGTGAGCCTTTGCGCTCGATTGTGCAACAGTTGATGACAGTTAATTTAGGTTTAGACTCAAAGATGGCGATTTTTCGCAGATAAATTGGCGCAAAGACTCTCGGGTTTACATGGCCTTCAATGTATTATAATTTGTTGCAGAATAATTTGATGTGTATGCAAACAAATTTCTGATGGCTACGGATAATTGCGAAACGGCATTTTAATGAAGTTTTTAATGAAGTTTTCCTAGTATTAAAAAAAGAAGTTCTGATGATGTATTATCTGTTTTCRAAGGATTCAAAGAATTAGGTGGTGGCTACAGAGAATTACAGARCAAGTACATGCAAGCAATGTCAAATGACACTCTGTTCTCTAACAGTTCTTGCGGCAGGCCTTCCGCTGATGCCTTTATTATGCTACGAGATCCTCTCAAGTCTGACATACCTTGGCCTGGGTTTATATTCGGACAGTCTATCGCTAGCGTTTGGTATTGGTGCGCTGATCAGGTTCAACTGATTTATTGCTAATGTTAACTACAGGCAACCCATGCTAAGGACTATCGATGATGCATGTAAACATGAGTAAAAAACATTTGTCTTACCTCATTATGTGGTTTTAGTTCTGAATGGAGGCTCAATTTGCCGTTTTTATTGCCTATCTATACTTATATCTCATATTTACATGCGTACCTAACAAGATGTACAGCATTCGTGAAGCAAATTGTATCGGGCTACCTGTGCTTTATCTTTGCGCGTTGCCATTTGGTGTAATGTCTAGTTCATTATAATATTAGGTAATAGTACAGCGCGCATTGGCAGCCAAGAGTTTATCCCATGCACAAGGTGGCTGCATATTTGCTGGTTATATCAAGATTCTTCCCCTATTCACCCTAGTCATGCCGGGAATGATCAGCCGAATATTATCGCCTGGTAAGTGTATGACGTCACGGTATAGAAACTACCAGGCGTTCCTTGTGATATGCTGAGTCTTTTGTAAACTAGTGTATTTTATTGAATCGTGAAGCCGTAATTCACACAGTGAACTCTTCTAATACCA